CAAAAACCTCTTGGATGAGTTCAGAGATTATTTTTAATAAAAATTTTCAGTTTAATAATAATTTTAATGAGTCTCTGGGGTATGGATGCTAGCTTTGGAACAGGCTGCAGGGAGCTGCAGAAACTGCAGGCCCATGGCCTCTCAGTCCTGCCTGAGAAGCTAGCCTGAGAAATTCAAAGGAGGATTTCAAAACAATCCTCAGAGACAGAAAACAACTGCCAGGTGCTGTTTGTCTGTCCTCTTGTTTTCCCTTGCAAGAGAGGGTCAGGGGGGTAGAGTGCCCCTGACCAATGATGGTGATGTAGCACTTTGTTAACCAATAAGAGTTTCTTTTCTGTACTTTCCACGTATCTGTCTATAAGACAGGCCTGAAGCAATAAACTAGAGAATTCTCGTGTTGAAACTCCCTTGAGAGTTCGTGTCGTTCTTTAAAGCCGTTCCCAATCGGAACGACACTGGGGAAAAAAAAAAAAAGGAAAAAAAAGAGAGAGGTATCTTCCACAGGCTATAGTATTGATCTATGAGGGAAAGAAACCCATTCATGGCTGACTCCTAAATAAAAGCTAGGAGGAATCAGACAATAGTGCAGGAATCAGTCAATCTCCTCTAGAGAAACCTGGGTTGGTTTCTTCAGCAATTAATTTTCAAGAATTTAGATCAACTCAATGATAAGCAAATGAAGAAGGATATGACACAAAAAAGGACAAAGAATTAGGAGCTAACAACAACTGCTGGAAATCAAGTCTGTGTTAGACCTTGCTAACAGGCAACCACTCTCTTGGAGATGACGGCTAATCTACCCTGTCACCAAGTTTTTAACAGAAACCTGTCCCTGTTGAAAGGACCACTGGAGTAACAGAAGTCAGGACAGGATAACAGTTATTTCAGAAGAGAATTCTCCTTCTGTGTCTTATCCTGAATACACAGACCAAGTCTCCCAAGTAAGGCAAGTAGATAGACTTACCTTAGTACTCCTGCTTAAGCTCATTTTTGGGGGGAAGCAGCGTGACACCCTGTTCTGCATTCACCACTGAGAGCTCTCCAAATAGGTTTGAGTTGTTTTGCCCCCACTCCAGGCAGAGCATCCTGCTACAGGACAATACTTACCTCAAGGAATTTAACTTAATTAATTTCCAATTAATAAAAATATTTGAGTAGTGATTTGGATTTTTCTTTTAAAAAATATAACAAATATGTATGCACAACTAAACCTTTTCCTCCCACATTCCAGGCCCGGCTTCACTCAATAACCCCAGACACCTCTCCCTCCCCCTCTTGAAGTCACTGCAGGGTGCAATTCACTCTGTTCTTCCATTGAGGCAATGGGCAGAGCAGGGCTACGAAAAGACAACAGAGATTTCTTCTGCTGGAATCCCAGGAAGACCTCTGACAGCTCCCTATAGAAAACAGCACTTGCAGGTATAGTCTAGTCATCCATGTCTAGTCTTCATTAGCTGTGCATTCGGCCCTTCTCCTGTTCCCAGCACACAGAACAATGGAGTGAGTGAGGTTCTCATCAAAACACTGTGGAACAACTCTGCAGTTCCTTATCTCCCTTGCCACAAAGCCTCTCAGGAGTAGGGAACAGCTGAAAGCCCCTTGCACTAACCCATAAGAGTGCCTCCCTCCCTCTGGCAGCAGTGGGCTTCTCATCTTACTGCACTTTCTAATCCCTGAGAGCCCTTCTTTACACTGTGTATGGAAACTTATCATCACAGTACTAAATGAGTACAAGTCCACACAATCAGTGAAGTTTACAGAGCCATTAAACCCTAAGAACTTACCGTATGTATTGAATAGTCACCTCCAAATATTAACCATGTCAATTTTTTCCTTTGCTCTCTTTCCCATACTCTTTCTATATAAAAAGTGTATTTTTGTCATAACAACATGTGGTGGTTTCAGTTTGAAACCAAGCAGAAACACAGATTTCATGCAGAGATTTAGGTTCACCGATTTGAGTTTCCCAGCCAATGCACTAAATAATGTGGTGGGTTGAGCATTGGCTAAAATCACTAGTGCACCTACTACAATTATTTACTCATTTCCTGCTGTGAGATATGAATTAGGAGGCAGGAAAAGCATGCTCAAAAGGTATAAAAAAAACTTTATTAACAGAACTAAAAGACTAGTAAGAATCAGAATAGAACCTTCAGAATACTTCTCCCCTCACCACAACCTCTTTTCCTTCCCTCTGACAGCCTAGAGACAAAACCCCTGGGATTTTCAATCAGTTACCACCTCTGTAACAGTCCTTCATCAGTTCTTGTAGGGAGAAGAGTTTCTCTCCCCATGCCACGGGAGACTTCTCCACAAGAAGCAGTTCTCCTGTGGCTTCAATGTAACAGCAAATCAGCCACCCAGGAAAGGAAAATCTGTTTGCAGCTCTCTGGGAACAGAGGCTTTTCTTCTTCTGTCCCTGGGGTAAAGTTTCTCATCTCTCTCTGTTGAAGCTTCTCATTGGATTACAGCTTCTCCGCATCCACATGCTCCTGCACAAACGCCCTTTTCTCATGGGCTGCAGGTGAATGCTGCATCCCCCCTTGCAATTTATGAATTACAGGGAAAAAACAAAGTCTGATATATCAAAAATGTATCTTCACCATAGCCTTACAGAGAGAATTTCAGCCCAAGACTAAGGCATCTCCTCAATCCCCTCCTAACTAGAATTTGACTCCTTCTTTACTGACCTCAATGTCCCATGTTGTTTTCCTTACATGTCTTACCCTTTTCCTGATTTGGGAGAGAATTGGTGTTTGTAGGTTCATTTAGGTAGGCTCATTCTCAAGCTTTATCAACTGAAACAGCTTTCATAGAGCTCTGCAGCACTGAAAGGTTGTTCTCATCCAGGCTGTGCATTGGGGAGATCACTCACCGTGCCTCTTGCTGCTGCTCACACAGTCTCTGCCGACACCGTGCCGGCCACCGGCTCCACTCAGCGCTTTTCTTCATGCGGAGCACCGAAAACAAGAAAAGCTGCTGCTGCCATTTTTGTCCTTCTCCCTGCAGCATGGCTGGCTCAAAGCAGCTAAACAAAGTTCATTACGAGCCATGCCAAGGCAGCAATGGCTGTGCACCCTTATTCCGGTTGCTCTGATTTTTCAGCCCCACAGTCCCAGCCATGTGGCCACTCCTGGACCCTGGCCGCTCCTGGCCTCGGGGCTATCCCCAGCACCGATAGCTTCTGGCCAGCTTGGCCTGGTGGTGCTGCTGGAAGAGCCTTCCCAGCAGTGGGCACTGCTGGGAAGGGGCCCCAGCTGCCTGCTGGGACGGGGGCCAGAGGACTCCCCAGTGAGGGGCTCAGCAGCCCACCCACCACCCCTCAGGGGACAGAAACTCTCAGCTGGGCCACATGGGGACAGCCCAGCCCAGCAGGCTGTGAGGATCTGGTCCAACCAGCACCCAGTTACCTCTTCAAAAGCTGGAAGCCAAGAGAGAGATTTCCTGGGCTTGCCCATGTTTAAAATGTGAATTTCACAGAGGCAGACCCAGATTCTAAATGGTTCAATAGGTTGTCAGTTCTCAAAGCTAGGCAGCTATTGGTTTTCGCTAGGCACAGAGGAAGCTCTTGGCAACCTCTTCCAGAAAAATCATTTCTGTGGGTGGCTTCTTCCCTTCTCACCAAATATCAATTAATGGAAAACCAGCACACAATGTTTTAAAATGTAAGGTTTAGGGACATCATGCATCTTGTCTGTAGCTGTTTATATCAGGGGAGAAAGCTACACTGGATGTACTCACACATCAGAATAGGTTCAACCATAGTTAGATGCATGAGATGCAGAGCAGAATGCTGAGCATCAGGCTATGCAAAGTTCTTCTTGTTGGCTCTTGTGACTGCCCATTTATCTTGTAGTTGCTGGAGATGCCCACAGGTGAAACAGGCAGTGCTAGAGACAGCTGTATCTGCCCTGTAGCTGTCTGTCAAGCCTGCATGACCACAATAAGGTTTGGTGTTTCCATGTGACATTTATGTACATATCCACGGTGCTCATTCTGTGGAGCAGATGGTCTCCAGGCTTTTCTCTGTAGGTACTCCTTGCAGTCCTAACACTGTTCCTTACAGATATTTTCCCTCCAGCAGCTGTCTGAATGGATAGTGGCCAACTTACGAGCCATGGCAATTTACCAGAGAGATTCCAATATCAGCAAAAATTGCTATGATATGACTACAGTGGAGACTGGAACTGCACAGGGCAGCTGAAAATAACAGCAACCAGCTGAAAATGGCATCACTGAAGTCAATGAGCCCATTGAACCCACATTATGTTAAAGGACCTCATCCATGATTCTCTTGACTGTACAACAACCAAGCAAAAGCTACATGGGCAGTCTATCCCAAAGATCCCAGCCATAGCAAATCCGTGTAGGCACAAGTCACCATGTAAACAGTGTCACAGAACCAAGATTCACTTCTTGGTATAAGGAAGGAAGAAGACACAGCTGTATCCACTGGGACTCAAAACTGGCATTCTTGCTGACTGGATGCACCAGGTCAGTGAGAAGACTTCTCCAAATATTTAGAACATAAACGTCATGGGTCAATGGACTGAATAGTTTCCTACTAAAAAGAATTCACGCAAGCATTTATGTCAGCTTCATGTATCATTGTGCAGAACAAAACCCAGATTAAACTCCTGACAGGAACCCTGTTTTGTTTGTACTGGCTACACTTAAATCTTCCTTTGTGCGGGCAGTATAATGCAGGTAACTAAACTCTCAAGAAAATGAAAAACCTTCTCAAGAGTTAACACGATTATTACAAAATCCTCCAGCGGCAACATTCCCCACAGACTAAAAGTTTGGCATCCAGAGAGAAAAACAAACTAACAAACTTTCAACTACTTCCTTTAAACAAGGAAGATCCATCACTTATTTTAAAGCTGCTTTTCATCTACAGGAATATCTTCAATGCCTATTTAACTAACTGCAATAAGCACAACTTCATACTTCAAGAACAAAAAAAAAAAAAAAAAAAAAAAAAAAAAGACAAGGTGAGGTGAAGTCCTCAAAAGTTTATTTCAAGTATAAAAATCGTTCAGTGACGTATCTACAGGTTTTTTGTTCAGCATAAAGGTTTAGTAAGATAGAAAGAATTAAGTACCAAATCTCTGTAAAAATACGATTTGATTTTAGATTTTGAATAACAGTGAAAAGGCACTTAACAGAAGATAGCCAATGACAAATACAACCGTTACGTCACAGTGAATGTGTAAGCAAACATAATCTAACACTTTATAAACAAAGAAATTACAGTCTAGCTGAACTCAGACAAGAGTGAATTCGAACTCCCCACACTTCAACTGCAAAAAGAGAAAGAAAAGCAAGAGAAGTTGTCACTAAACTAACAGTTTGCAGCACTGTGTTCAAACTAAGAACTCAAGAGCTCAGTCCATACAAGTGCCACAAAAAGAAATGTAACAAAACTGGGTAGCAGCATAAATATTTCTTAAATGCCCCTGATCTGTATGCCTGAATTGAGGGGTTTATATTTCTAGTCCCAGTTTAGGAAAAAAAGTTTCTACAAAAAACAGAAAGCCTTTTTAGAAGCAAAACAGACTACCGTAGTGGGAAACAGAAGTGTAATGCTTGGGAATCCACTGCAATCCCTTTGCAGCAGAAATATTTTTCCACTGCCAGCAATGGAAAGTATAACAAGTAGAAGATTTTGAGAATCAGGAAAAAAAACCAGGCTATGACAGTTTAAATGAGTTTGTTATTTTTTGGTCAAGATTCAATGAGCTACTCTATCTTAAAAAAAATAAGATCAAATATGCCAAAAGAAACAATACGTTTAAAACAGCATTTACAGCACCAAAGCATATTTGGACAATAAATACAGGATAAGATGGTAATTATTCACAAATATGAGGAAAATAGGGAAGGAAATTCTCAACACCCACCAGAAAACCGTGGGTTTTTACATTTGTTCAGCAATATGAAGTAAACAAAAAAAAAAATCATCTTAGTGTTGGCATTTTTTTCTCAGAGACAGTAAGACCTTTGATACAGGAGTGCTATCAAGACTTTTGCATCTTTTTTTCCAGATACATTTTCCTGTAGGTCTGAAACATCTCTTTTGAGTCTTTGACAGGAATGTGAAGATTCTTTCCATCTCCATCCAGGATCTGTATAGCTGTATCAAGGGGAATACTGTCCTCAGCTGCAAGATAGACAAGCATGTTAAAGCAAGAGTCTCAAAGGACTCTATTCCTTATGCATGTGGTAACTAAGGCCTTTCAGTGTCAAAAAGGATGCCACAAACTTCCTTCCTAAAGCACCAGGCACCTCAGATTTAAAACAATGAATCTTTAAGCACAAAATGGCTATCTGGGTGTCAAATCAAAGGAGAGATTTCTGGAGAGTGTTAAGAAAGGTGTGACAGAAAACGTGCATTTGTGAAAGGAAGAGAAGAAGCAAGAGGAAGGGCTAAAAAGATAGCAGACACCAAAGCCCAAGGACACAGGCAACAGCAACAAAAGATGCAAAGGTTGCAAGACTATGTCACCTGCAACACCACAACACAAGCATCAGCATGCAAGCCCTCTGCTCTAAAGCTAAGAAGCAGACAGCAACAAGGCTACAGAATGCATTTTGTTCCCTGTTAGACCACTAACTAGAAAAACAAGATTAGAGCCAGAGCGGTACCTAAAGCAAAGAAACAAGGACAGCTGGGAGCAACCTCACCCAAGATTTAAAAAGGATGGAACAAACAAGATCCTGAGATGTTGTGACAGCTGACTCCTAGAGGGTATAAAAGACCATCCAAAAAGCAATTCAAGAGAAATGAGGAAGATGTTAACAGTGGTCCCACTTTTCCTCTGGGTGTCATACAGATTATCTTTTCTAGACTACTGGGACACAGGTCCTGCAATTTGTGAGCACAGGTGTTATGTGTGAACAGCAGCAACCAACTGTGAAAGTCAGATTTATTTTAAAAATCGCTTTCTGTTTTTGCACTACATTCTGCTACATCACTTCCTATATTTTAAAGCATGAAAGAATCTTTATATACAAATTAAAACAAGTTAAATTTAAACACTGTTACCAGTGCTGCATCCAAGTTAACAGCACAGGAAAATTTTAACATTTCCAACAACATATTCATAATGCAATAAAAAGCTACACAAATCTTTGATACTTCTAAGTCTATTCTCTGATATCCACTTAATCAGCAGAATGAGAAAATAATAATTTAAAATGCTTTATTAAGATTTACTACTGTAAAGGAACATTTAAAACCAAGGAAAGAGGATTTAACTTGTATTTCAAATGGGACATTCAGAAGACACTTCACCTGTAGAAATCTCTTCCACTTTCTTTTGCTTACTCCAAGGGCTGATATGTACAGCTTAAGATTTGGGTTCATTTAAAAATCAAATACAACATTTGACATAAATATGCTCCAGAATGCACTATGTAAAATGCTGAAAAATGGGGTAAAGAAGAGAAGGAAAAATGGATGCTTAAGGCAAAGATGGCAAAGGTTATGGGGACTGTGGGCAGGATATGTCTGGCGTGAACCTGCTCTATTCCTCAACGTCACAAAAGATCTCTCCCTCCTCTGCCCAGCCAGACTGATGCACAACCAGGTGAACAGTGAATACAAATCACATCTCCTTTGGTAACTGCGCCATGGGAATCTACTTTCTACAATCAAGCCAAGCTAACTTCTACAAGTACTTTAGAAAGCCTTCTCCCAAGGTTACTTGAAACTGCCATGCTCTAATTTTCATTCTCTAAGGCTCACAGAAAATTGAAGGTAAACTCCCATGTTCTTTTTCAGCTTAAGACACGGCTATGGTCTGTCACAGAACAAGTTAGGATATCTCAGCTTTCAGCCTCTACAATCCCATGTTTTCACTGTCTGTAGCTTTGCGCAATGTGCATTTTAAAATGAATACACAGTTTTTACTCACAAATGAATCATCAAGACAGCATCATACCTTCTACAACGACTTTATCTCTTTCTGGAGAATTCTTTGCAGCTAAGCTTTCTTCACCAGGGGCTGGATTTCTGAACAGTATCTCTGGACACAGCTTGAACTCAAGGCGTTCCTGTTTGCATGATTTCTCAGCTGTCGAGACAGACACATCTCTTTTTGACTCACTGCTCTGTGACACTTTGGTGGCTCTATGCCAGACAGGTCTGACAGGTGACGTCTCTAATTTTGTCAGATAAATGCGCTCCTGTGCTGTACGTTTAAATGCCACTCTGTTCAGGTAGTGTTTTTTGGGTTCCTTTTGAAGATGCAGCTTTAGTCTGTTATTTCTTCTGTTTAGGTATAGAAGATTTTTATCAGGAAACATTTTCTCAGTGCACTTGTCTTTGTTTAGACCATCGAGATGTCTTTCTTTGCTAGAAAAGTAGTTTTTAGACATGGTAGAAGACCGAGCTCTTTTTCTCTGCAGTTTAAGCACAGCGCAATCTGCTAAGGAACTCCTTGGTTTCCAACCATTTTCTCCATTCAATTTTTTAGCTTTGTCAGCATTTAGCATGCAATTGTGTGCAAGCTGCTTAGAACTCTTTGCTTCAGATTGTTTCAGTTTTTCCTCTTCTAGCTTTGCTTTTTTAAATTCTCTCTTCCCAACCATATTTTCCTTCATCTTCCGTTTGTATGCCTGCTCCTGCAAAGGATGAACTTTCACAGATTTATGCTGAGAATACTTTGTGTGTCTTGATTTGAAGTCTACAGTGCTACTATCTGAGAATGTTACAGCATCAGCTTGGTAACTACTCAATTTTTTATGTTTTATTTCTGCTGGTAATTTCGCTTGCTCTTTGACACTAATTCCTACGTCTTGCCTAAGCAGCTCCTTTTGTTTCTTACAGCTTTGCTCTTCAGCTGAAGTCTCTTCACAGGTTTTAAATTTTTGTCCTTGACTGACTTCAGAGTGCTTAATTTCAACACTTTCTGACTTGACAGATTGGTGAGTGTCCATTTTGGATTTCAAGGTCAAACCTGGGCTGGTTATATCCTGTGAAAGGGACTCAGTTTTGAAAGCTCTCTCCTTCTTTATGGACAGCTTTGCCATGTTGTCTGCATATGTATGATCAGTTTTCTCTGGTAACTCTTGGGAAGCTGTCTGGTGCTCCTTTTTGTCAGAATGAAATTCTTTACTTGACACTTGGGTTCCTTTGTCAATTTGCAGATTTTCCTTACAGCTGCTGCTTTTGTATTTATCAGCATCCTGTTTTTCAAAGGAATTAACTGGTCCAATTTTTTCCTGTGTTGTAGGCAGTTTGTATTCATTATCCACCTTCGGCCTAGGATTTTTGTTCATTGCAGAAGTGTATTTGCAAGTATCTTTAATTTTGCTAATACTGTCTGTGATTTTTTCAGAAATTGTTAGGTCTCCCACTGCAGAGTTTTTCTTTTTCAAGGTATCAGATTGACTGTTTTCTTCTGTCTCTGCAGAGTCAGTATTTTCAGCTTTTGAAAGCTGACAATCATTTTTCTCTGAACCAGATGTTTCTAACTGAGAGGGACAATGAGGTGTTTTATATTCTACAGACAAACCACCTGTTAAAGAGCAATCTTCACTTTTTTCACTGGACTTAGGACTTTTTTGTGGGGCTTTTTCCTCCTCACATGGTTTCTGATTAGGCTGGACACAGCCTTCAAGGTTGTCCTTGTCAGCTGAAGCCTTTTCTGACTGCTGACTCACTTCTCTCTTGCTGTCACTAGAAGGACACTGGTTTTGTCCAGGAGACAGCTCTTGAACCTGATCAGAGCTTAACACCGTAATTTTAGTCTGATTTACTGGGTCCTTTAAACGAGCATTCTTGTCACTAATTTTAACCTCTTTTTGAGACTGATTCTCTGTCCCTTCAGCCACAGAACGATTTTGTGCTGCTCCTTTTGTTAGCATATCAGCACCTTCAATGCCATATGGAAATTCTTTCACTAGAGCAAGCAGCTGATCTTCTAGATATTTACTAGGTTCTCTTCCAAAAAAGTTCACCTCCTTTTCTATGCTATTTTTATTAGGCATGGAATTTTGTTTACTGTGGTCTCCTGGAACAGCAGGTGCATTAGTTTTAACAGTCATGCTGATAGAGGAATCTAGTGAATTTTGAGCTAACTTCTGATTTATATTAGCAAGACTTTCTAAGTAATTTTCAGGATGCTTGGAAGATGCCTTGAGACTCGTGTTCCTTTTGCCTCGCACCAGATGCATTTCCTTCTGATGTTTGTGTCTCATAGACTGACTTGAACATGCCTGCTATTTGTGCATTATAAAATTTATCACCTTCAACAAGAGAGCATACACTAGAAATACAAAACATCTCATTTTCCAGCACAGTTGTGGATGAATCTCCTGCCTCTAAGACAGCTTGCTTGTCTTTGTGGTCCCTTATACCTTCTTGAGAGATCTGACTACAAAAATTTGTGCATGATTCAGGAAGACTAGCCTTCTTTTGTAATCCAAGCTGCAGATTTTTTCTTTCATCTTGTGCAGATGGACTAACTTTCCTTTGGTTTTCATCACCTAATTTGATCTGTTGTAAATCTGAGTCCACTTTTTGTTCCAGAACACAATCACTGGGTGATGACCTACCATTTTCTATTGTTCCTTTGGCAGTATTTGCCACATTTAAACCATTTTTCCCCTCTTCTTGCAAGCTACATGTGCTTTCCAAATCGATCACTGGATAGGTTTTACCTTCAGGTGTTGGGATCTTGCCTGCCTGCTCACTTAGTGTTCTTTGTTCACAAAGCACTAAAGGAGAGACAACTGCAACTTGAGGTTCAAAATTTTTTATCAAATTGGAAGTCAATGTATCAAGTTTTTGTCCCACAGAGGTAGATGTTACAGGTAAAATGGTCTCATCCACACTGGACAGAACATTTTTTTTCCCTGCCTTTGTGTTTTGGTTGGAGGGCGGAACCTGATTTGCTGTAGGGCTTTCATTTGACTGTTTATTTTGCACACTTACAGATTCTGATGGAAACTTCTCCCACAAGCGCAGGCATGCAGCCACCTCTTCCACAGTGTAACTACAATTGCTCTGGTTACAGGATGCATTTTCAGTAAATGGCGTTTTCTTCTGAGCTACCTCGGTCTGGAATTTAGCATCACCAGATGCAGTTGTTTCTGATGCAGGAGAGTTTGTGTGAGCCACAGATGCCTGCTCACCTTTCAGACTTTCTGTGTTCTTCTCACTAGTGTCTTTTAGCAAGCTTTCACCCGAGACAGATGTATCAAGCAGTGGTTTTTCATTACACAGGAGACTCGTCAGTATTTTATCAGCAGTAGCACCAGCTGTCTTCTCTTTCAGCACATTTGTGCTGCTCAATACAAACTGAAGAAATGATGAGTTCTCAGGGCCAATTTGCACAGTCTTTGATGCAGTCTTGACAGAGCTCCCTGCTTGAGTAAAACATGAAGCACTGTTTGAGGAAGTCACAGTTCCTTGAGAAGAGGCCAAGGCATGCACATCCCTTTGTTCCAAGGTGCTCTCAGGATTATTAAACTGAGCTGGGACTTTGCTCTGAGAGGGAATAGGAGTGAAGCTTGATGAAAGGCTTCCCTGCTCCACCTGAGGGTCACTTTGAGTCACCTCCAATCTTCTGTTATCAACACTGGCTAGGTTTTTGTCCTTTCTTTCATCATGTGAAATCGCAAGTGTGGGCCTCTCTGTCCCCACTGGTTCAGATGGGGAAAGTGGTACATTTTGCTTGGGCACACATGGAAGACAATTAGCAGGAGAACATGGATAGCTAGTAGGAGGAAGAAGAGTACTTTTGGCATGATAGATTTTTTTTTTATAATTATGAACCGTTTCAAGCAGGACAACCCTTTTTTTAAGACAGTTCAGCTTTTCAGCTTCCCAAGCTAGCCTCTCCTTTGTAATTCCTATTCCCTGTGTTGTTGCTGCTGAAGAAACCTGAGCATTAACAGGTCCATTCATCAAACTACTAGTCTGGCTCTCTGGAACTGAAGCAGTTTCATTCAGTGGCTTTGAAGAAAGAGCTTCTATTTCTTTCACAACATCAAGCAGTTCTTTGGGAATGCCAGGGGATGACACAGAGCTTTCATTAAAAGACCGATTTGTTGTCACACTTCCACTTGGATTATAGACATTCCTGACTGATTGACTGACTTCTCCAGATGGCTGCTTCTGACAGAGCTGCTGAATACTATTAAACCCAGGAGCATTTTTTGGATCCAGTGGGCACCTCTGCTGGTTAATGTTGTATCCATTAGGTACATTTTGCACTTCCTGTGGTGCACCCATTGAAGATTGTGCTGCATGTCTTGAAACACAGTTGGCAGGCAACAAAGATGGTGCAGAACATCCTCTGGGAGCTTCTGATGTCATCTGACTCTGCTGAAATTGTGGCAGATGTATATTTGCTCCAGTATTTTGATTCATTGAATATGAAACTTTACCCTGTTGAATACTGGAATTAAATATTTGGGGCTGGACATGTTGCCCAGGAGTACCGAGAGGAAAAGAACTACTCTGGGGATGAATGCCACCTTGATGTAGTGTTGCAAGTCTCAGAGAATTATGCTGCAGCATTTCTGGCTGCATGTTGTAAGCACTGGGATTGGCATACTGAGGCTCCCCAAGCAGGCTCCTTACACTATTCCCTGTGTTCATTTGAGAGGACAGAGGGGGTAAATTTCTGCAGGGATAACTGCAGGGATTAGAGACTGGCCAAGAGGTCAGAGTCGTCTCTGGCCGCAAAGGTGAATTCTGACTGGGAGGTTTTGGTGCTGTTATGTACATCTGTTGATGTCGTTTAACTGAGTATTTCGATGTGAAAAAATTATTACCAGTTACAGATGTTCCTGGTGAGGTTTGATCTGAAGTTTTGAATCCTTCAGCATTTACAGTAGGGAAGGCAACATTGATAGTTGGCATATACACAATTTGGTTATTTTCAGCATAAGTGCATGCATTTTTAGAGGAGTTGGCATTTGTCTGAGGAAAAGTATGTCCATTAGGAAGTAACTGACTGAAACACGCTCCTTCACTTTGTAGGTTTGTATTTGCATCAGCATTCTGGACTGGCCTTACATTCCAGTCCATCTTCTCTTGTTTTCTTTTTCTTCAGGCAAAACCAAAATGCTACAAAAAAAATTTTACAAAAATTACAACCTTTTGATCAAGACCTATTTAATTTACTAAGAAGCAATTTAGAATGCATCATGAACGGAACCGTTGAACTTAAAATTGCTGGGTAGGAGAGCAACCCCATTAGCACAGCCACGGACATAAAATGCTGTCAAAGTCAAGTTGCATAAATTGTTTCCCAGAACACGGTAAAGTATAAAAGGAAAAGCAACTAACAACTCTACTGACTATCTAATGATTAAAAAAAAAGTCACACTATTCTGCTAATTCTATTATCATTCAACCTTTTAATTTAACAATAGATTGCTATATTTAGCTTCTTAATCCTAAAACAATGGAAAAAAGCCCCAAGGTAGGTGTATGACATGACACAATGAACAATACTAAAGAGCTGAACACAAGAAACACCTACAGAATAAAATACAGGCCAGGGTTTTCAGACAGTATGACTCAATTTCAATTATACCTTCAAATACAACAAAATAAATGGAAAAATTATTTTGGGTTTAGTAAAAATCTCTCATAATTATGTTGCCCACTAGTTTAATTTTGAGAAACATGACTGTGCCTCTACAGGCACATCAGTGATCCACAAGCAAAGAGCCCCTAATTCTGTTGGCAGCATTAACTTACTCAGCTGGGAGAAGGAATGAAGCATAAAAATGACAACAACACTTATGCTACTGCAGTACTTACACCTTCAGGAGCTGACAAAGTCACATATCTCTATGTCTTCATGTGTTATATTCCAGAATGCACATGGATTACCAACAAACCCAAATGGGTGAGCATGTTACTCTGTAAAGTCTTTAGAGACAGTGCCTTCAAAGCCTAACACTATTTCAGCCTCCAAAAATGCACAAAATATCACAAAAAAACCCATGACAACTGACAGGAATGAATGCTTGTCTGCATCTCAATAAGCTCCTTTGAGTATGATCAAACCCACCTAGGACAGAACAAACACCTTGCTTTGTGCAGGGTGTTAAGACAGTTTCTCAACAGAATCTTTCATGCCATTTCTCCCAGGTTACCCAAGGCTCCTGACATTCCTTCATGGGCTCTTTTAGATTTTAAGACTCTTCTGATTTCAAATTTGAGAATGAGAAGTATCACTCATATCTAGCCTATAAGAAATAAAAGACCCAGTGTTATAGTTTTCCAGGTGTTATTTTCAAGATTCAAACACAGCTCTATCTTTCTTCACTCTTTTACTTTCTCTGCTCTCATAAGACACCGACAACAAAAGAAGACAGGAAAATGAAGTGGCATAGGAAATTCGTAAAAATCATCAACATCAGTGTCCAGGCAATACTTACAGTGATGCAGGAATCTTAGCAGACAAAACAGGTTTTTGCATCCAAGGTTAAGCTTTCAGGCTGCTAATGTTACACTGGGTATTTCCTGAAAAATTATTTGGGATAAAACAATCCTTGAATTAGACAAATGCTGAGGAAACTTAAGGCATTCACATTTTCTGGGAACATAATTGTAAGAGAGGCAAACAAGACTAAGATGCTAACCACTAGTAACTGTAAAATCCTTGCTAGAGGAGGAACTTCGACTACATGCAGCTTCACAACTTCACTAAGAGTAAAATCCAATTACCGTCACCATCAAGATCAAAAATAAATTAGAAACCCCTTGTTGAAGCCAGGCTGGAGACAAGGGGAAGGGTTCATTGCAATGGTAAACCCTACAACCCAGCCCAAAAGGACCAGGGGTGAAGGCTGTAATGGATATACTTTGTAATTATTAATTTGAGTTATGTGTTACAGGAATTACAGTAAGAGGAAACACACAGGACCATCCCCAAGAATCACCTGTTGTTTTGAGAGAAACTGTTTACCCCTAAAGCTGTTGGTCTGGTGTTTGTTACTACACTCCAAATCTAACTCAGCAGGCTGCATCAAGTCCCTCCACTCTCGTGTCAACAGAGAGATGCAGTACATGGCATCATAACTCGCCTGAGCCTTGTAGCAGGTGCCTGAACTGATTAGTCTGGGGCCTTACCCTGCCTTTGGGTGCCAGATGCTCTCATGGAAGGAACTACCTGTTCTCTTCTAGGAATAGAAAAAGTCAGAAAGATAAAAGCATGAAGGGAAAGTTACCCTGCCTATTTGTGTTACAGCTCATGCTCTTAGAAATGCTGAGCACTATCTAAATGCAGCTGAAGTCTAAGTTATTCCCCTACAAACAAACAAGAGCCTGAAGCCCAGCAGAACACTTCAGCTGAAACAGACACAACTCTACAACTCTTGCCAGTGTCTGTGTTAGAAGCCTTGAAGTGACTGTGGAGAAATCAGAAGGCCACGGGGTCCCTGTGATGGCACTATCTGCCCAGGAAAAGCTTGACAGGTAGGTGGCTGGAAACTGCCTGAAAGTGACTTTCTGAAAGAAACGTTTTTTTTCTGAAAGAAAAGTTGATCAAGACAACCAGGACAGAAATACATGGTCCAATTTGATTTCAGATAATCATATGTCAACTTCCTACCTCCTTGAAGCCTGACTAGGCCTATGAATCAGACTAACAATTAAACTGAGTATGGTGTCAATGGAGGCACCGTAACTGTGTCTGTGAATGCTTTTCCACAGGCAAAAACCCATGCCAAATCAGGTGAGCACTCTCACAAATCTGTTACTGTGTGCTATTTAACCTGAATTGCAAATATGTCACACGACCCCCTGAATTTCAGAATCAGAAGCCTGGGCCCTCCTGTAGGGTCTGGAATCTAACTACAAACTCCATTGGAAAACACAACTGTACTTCTGGTATCACTAACATATGCTCAAAGATAAAGGTCTTGAGGTAACCAAGGTCCCCAGAATACTTCCTGGGACAGTCCCACAGATTTGGGACTGAACACGAGAAGGCTGGTTTTCAGTCATTTTTCAGATGTAGCCCCTGTGTGCCAGGTAAAGTCCTATTGAATCACAAATTTTTAAAAAATTAAGAACTTTAGAAAAGTTAAAGCTTTTAGCTAGTGATAGACTTTGCTGGAATCAATTAGAGTTAATGATTAGGTTAGAAGCAGGATTTGAGATAATAAATCCAGGGATTTAGATAACGAATTACTTGTAATTGTATGTTCGTTTAGCTGTGCTTATAATGAGGAACAGGAAAACTGATAAACAGGCCCAGGAAGAACACAGATCTTACATCTGGAAGCCCATTTAAAAGTCACGAAGGGAGGAAAGTGGAGTTCCCCCAAGTGTCAGTTGTAATGTCAACCATTGTAAAAGTAGAAAGGTCAGAGTGAGGAAGATGGGTTATCCTTCATCTTTTACAACCACTCCTCACTGAAAATGACCACCCCCTCAATTCAAGGTACCAACCACACAGGAGTAACAACCTTTTAAACTTATTACCATGTATTTTAATATGAAGCAGAGAATGGAAGGTGTTAGCATTATGAATATGTATTAGTATTTTGGGTATTCAAGACTTTTGTAAATAAATATACACTGGAATCTTTTGTGAATTTGCAGTGCATCTTAGGGGACTACCCCAAGTACCTGCCCTGTGCTGATTAAACATATGCTTTCTAACTTTAAACTGTTACAGTCTTTTATCCATCAACAGATTGATATTGATACTAGATCAACATCAATATTTAGTAAATCACTATGAGTTTGTCTTCCATCTGAGACCCAGCAGCACTCACTGCAGTCCTGCATCACAAACAGTCCTGGATTACTCAGAGCCCACTAACATCAGCAGCCACAACGCCCAGCACCACACGGTCCCAGCTATGTTCTGCTATGCTTGTTCTGTCATCCTGCATCCTGTCTGGATGCAGCCACAGTTACCACCAAACCCCTGGTTAAAACCTCCCTAAGCCTGTGCTAAAGGGCCCTGACACCAGGAATCTTAAAAGCCTGTTTAGCCCCAGGTATTCGAACCAGGCAGCCCACAGAGCCCCAACACGTTTTATTGGCTATTGCCAACAAGCCCCTGTGCTGCAGTTTTTCCCACCAGGGTTTGAGCAAGGGCCCTAGTGCCCCTCCCATCACTTCACCAACTGGAAATGCCCCAGCCCTTGGTGACCCAGACTTATCACATGTAGTTGGCACCCCAGACAGAACCTGATGATCCTTCTCAGGTGCCATGGATGGTGCATCTTACAGAGACTTCCCATTTGGAGGTAGATGCCACCATCAATGGCATCACCATCTGTATGTCCTCATGGGCAGTCAAAATTCTGCTTTCGGTTGATCACAATGCAGGGGACCACTTCTCTCACCCTCTGCAGTAGCCCTCAAGCTCCAGGAGCCCCTTCAGCCCTTCTCAAGATCAATCAAGTGTGGCTTCATTAAAAGCCAGCCAGCCTGAGGACCTGTTTTTGAGAGGTTCTAACCGCTGCTGCAGAATAACTCCTACACAATTCTGGTCAGGTCTGCACAGCAGCAGTTTATCACTGCATGTAGCTGCAGAGCTATGCACCACAAAGAGCAGCCAAGTAACAGACTCTGCCGAGTTGAACCTTGCCCAGATGGGGTAGTGACAGAGTTTATATATACATATATATATACCTCTGCATTACACATTGTTTTTCACAGGACTACAGGTACATGTCAGATAAGCAAAACACAGCAAGCTACCAAAAAGAATGGTAACATACAGATTACATCAGATAAGCTTCAGATAAGATACTTTTACAAGTATTTCTCTCCAATAATTTGGCCACTCTTGCTCAGTGAGACCATTAGGCCATGATGCAGATATTTCTAACTAGAAAAGACCTACAAAGGCCTGCAAGGTATTAGCTTTTTTACTTCCACAAACAGAACCACTCATAGACCAGACCTTCCATGATGCTCCTGGGGAGGTAAAATCTCCAGGAACTTCTGAATCCAAGTCCCCCTACTCTGGGGCCTCTGTGAAGCACCTCCTCTACCTCCAGTGACCCATGCTATTAACATGCCTCAGAGCCGCAGAACATCATGCAAGCCCCAAAATTCATCATGTCTCTTCTCAGAGAACTGAAAAGTGAGTATTCACTTCCCCTTTTAACAGCCTCAGCCAGTCAGCTCACAAGTTCAGTGGGTCCTGACATCTAACCACAGCTGCTGGAGCAAGACACTGCATCCATGGGGGTAAAGCAGCTCAAACAATACCCGGATTGTAAAAGTTATCAGTGATGGATGGAGAAGGGGAATAATGCTGCACTTGGTGTAGAATAATGCTGAGACTAGCCTGATTCAATAATCTCAAAGCTGAACATTCTGAGGATGTGAGGAACAATGTTTCCTGGCAGAAACTGGCACAAGTGAGGATGCAACAAAGCTCCTGATAAAGCAACCAAAAAGTGACAGTACTGATAATTTACCTGACATTGCTGAGCTAAAGGCAACTGAGCTGAAACAGTTGGCCCAGAAACATCTGACTGACAGTCGACCGCTATAAAAACCCAGTCCCAATTTTTAACAGCAGGGACTTTTTAAAAATGCAAAATGCATACCTAAAGGCCTGGAATTTGGTGCTCCAATAGTCTATTGAGTGTAAGTCCAGCTGCATTCAAAAGAACAAGTCTGGTTCACAAATACTATGGTTTATTAAATGCAACATACATGGCTTTTTTGGAGTGCCAGTAGTATCTGCATAAACTGCAGAGTAGCTAAATATAGCCCTAACAATACAATGGCAATCACAAGCTCAATTTCTCACATCAAAACACTCTGCATAGCCAAGGACACAAGTCTAACCAAAAGGTGCCCCTTCTGCAGAGAGCGAGGAAAATGTGTCCCAACAATTTTCATGTCAAATTCTCATCCCCAGCTAAACACAAAATCAGGGTCCTTTTATACCTTATTAGCCATTATTGTGCAGAGTGCTGTGGATGGTCCAATTTTCTGCTCTTAGGGGTTGTGTTGTATGCAGTATTTCTTGGTAGGAGGTATACCTGGTAGCAGTTGTACAGAACATTTCCTGGTATTGAGACTGCTCTATTCCTTTGCCACTTTACATTCCTACCCAACGCCATGGCAACAAAAACCTCCATCAGGTTTCCATGTCTGCTGTGATCACTGATGCTCTGATGTGTGAGCTCCATCTCATACTGAGCTTTGCTATTTACTTCACTGTTTTATGCTTCTAACACTCTTAACATACTCCCTTCTAGAAGTGTGTGTGGAGATACCTCCTTTGAATGGGGACAATCCAAGGTTCCTTCCCAAGGCTGAGTTAAAAAGATATGCACACAGACATTGGTATGAGTAAGCAACACCAATCTCTACTTGATTATTTTGCCAGCTTTAAAAATATCACTGTAATAATAGTTAACTATCTATACTGTGTAGTAATTTATTTTAGTTAAGGTCCTTTAGTCTAACTAGTATTATGATCAATATTATCATCAGTATTAACACCATTAAAAAAATTAATATTGGTTTGCCTTCCTTTATCCTGTGGGATGAAGCTGTATAAAGATTCAACTGCACCTTAGGAATTCTTTAGGCACAAACCTTTACTAAGTCTGTGTCTAGAACTGGATCCAGCCACACCCAGACTCCTCTGACGAGGAGTTTAGAAAGCAACAGGATCCCTTCTATACCCTGTGACTCAACAGGAGAGTACACATGATAAACCTTGTGTGAAGCTTCCATTCTGCCTGTGACAGCTACCTGTCATAAATTTATGTCAAATAAAATCATAAAATTATTCTTCTAATCATAAATTTATGGCAACATAAATTTTGCCCCCTCTCTGCCTCACAATGCAGTTGCAAAAGCTGCCAAAATAATCAATGCCATTTACCTTTCCTCTTATCTATGCACAGTCAGTTTAGACATTAAAGACATTCCTCCAGTGTTCCACCCACTAGGCCTACCAAGCTCACTTTTTCGGGGTTTTTTGTTTGGAGATGAAGTGAATACACTTCATTCTAAAATGGCATTAATTACTACTCATTTACCTCAGCCATGGCTATAGTCCTGCCATTGATGCTAAGGTAGCTCGAGCAATATTAGCCGAAACCTCTCCCTCTCCTGATGTGTCTCATCACATGTATCTTGCTGACTTTCCTAGCACATATAGATAGGAATCTTATATAAGATATGACTCCAGATTTCAGCCCTCAAAGAACACCAGGAACTTTCTATCTCCCTGGTAAATGTCAGGGTCCTGCCCAGAATGTAAAGTGTTGGGGTTATTTTTAAAGGAATCTTTTTGCATGCCAGTACCAAAGGTATTTCTGAAAGTGTCTTGCAGTCTGTTTCCCTTACCCAATCTACTCCCTGCTCCAAATGCAAATATTGAGTCTCCTAGGTTCTTCTGTCATGAAAGGCCCAGGTTTTAGTCAGCTGGGTGACTCTCTCTATTCCTTGCTGTGCACATATTGCACCTGGGACTGGAATATGCACAAACACTTCCAACCCTTCTCCTAAAAATATTCAACAATATCAGTGTCCATTTGCACAATGGTATATAATAAACATTAATTATAATAATTAAGCTAAGCAACTCATCAAATAACTGTACCCTCACCACTTATGTGCAATACAACACACACTGATGACATAGGCAAGACGTAACTGTACAATCACTCTGAGTCAATAAAGTGGATTGACTGTAGTCATGGGATGAGCTCAACTCCTTGACCAAATTATTGACAGTTTGGCTCAGGCTCACAAGGAAGTAAAGGTCTAGGCCATAACCAGGTATAGTCAAGGACTTTTCTAGCTCCAACCTATTGTTTGAAAACCCATGTAGGAACAGGGTGACACAAAGAGCTTTGATGTATAAGAGCTGGGAACACCAGTCAACCGAATAACACATTAATAGCAGGTAGTTCTTCCAAGACTAATTAGCAAGGAACACATGAAATTGTGGGTGCAAGGAATTTCATGCCTACCTTTTCCATGGCATTTAATTTGACTATAAGCCAACCACTTGTACTAGTTTGAAATCAAACCAGTGAGAGATCGCAAGTCAGAATTATAATTTAATAGGAAAATGATAAAAAGAATAAATGCAATAATATCAAAAACACTGACAGAGTCAGAATACAGCCTGGAACCTTGTTAGGGTGATGGTAGTCGTCCAGATGAGGTGGTCTTGTTAAAGCGTGATCCTCTGGAAGAAAGGGGGTCTGGTCTTCAGCTGAAAGTCCAGCAGTAGCTCCTGTCCTCTGGAAGTCCCATAGGTAAGGGCTGCTGTGGTGTTCGAATTCTCAGCTTATATCCAGTATGGAATGCTTGGCTCCTCCCTCGGGGAGGAGCATCTCACAATGGGATGGTGAGTCATGAGATAAGGCCTTGATGAGCCATTAACAGAAAACAGTCCAGGAGGAAGTTATCTCTGAGTCATGCAGCAAGGCAGTGGTGGGCCCATTAACAGGGGACAATACAGGGGGAAGTTATTTATGAGTCATGGGGCAGGGCATTGATGGGCCCATTAACAGAAGGTAGCCCGGGGGGGGGTGGGGAGGCAGGGAGCACTGCCTCACCTGGTTTCAACAGTACATGAGGATGGTGATAGAATATACTGCAACCCAGGACACCACTTTATTCAACGAATATTAAAGTCCAGGTGAGCCTTTTTTTGATCTCTCCCAGCTGCACGGTTGTAACCTGTCCTTGAGCTGGGTCACCTCTAAGTTATTCCTTGCTAAAAGACTCTTTTACCAACTGCAGATCTCTGGTGATTGACATTGTGCATGACTTCATATCATAGGGCATTACGATAATGTATTAATACTTTTGAATTATTACTGTTATTGAATCTCTACAGTAAGATTAAAGTGCTAGGGCACTTCCTTAAGCCTCACTTTTACATCATTTCACTTCAAATAAAACCACTTTTCCAGCTACCTGTGCCAGTGGTTCCCTAAGTGGTCTAAATCTCCTCTGCAACAAGTGTAACTGAGGCACTCACAATAGCTCTAAAATATTCATTGCTGAAAGTTCCCTTTAATAGAGCCAAAACTCTTTAAACACACATTTCAATGCCAGCCACTGTGATCACAGCTATTTCGTACCTCTGCAGAAAGCAGTTCAGCAAACAGAAGATTCTAAGAATTAAAAGGACAAAAGTTCAGCTGCAGGCCAGCAAAACTTTGCTCTCCTGTTTCTGCTTCAGGACTTGTAGCAGCATGTCTCATTTAACCTAAACTATTTAAATCTAATTCAGCACATCTGACTTACGGTGTTATAGAAAAACAGCCTGAATCAACTAAACGTACCCAAAGAAAAGAGTACATAAACATCCATAATTCTCATTTTCCTTTCTTTGTAACTGTATTTTAGATGTCACAACAGCACCAGCACACAGGAATTTTCTTGCCCCAAAATTCTTAGCAGTTACATGAGAGATAATTCATTGGAAATTACTGTTACATATAGGTAAAATCCTTATAAAAGAAAGACCTTGTAAAATCAGGCCTTATTACTTCAGCTAATCTAATAGCTAGCCTAAGTTCCCATGAGAAACCTGTCAGCTTTCATGAGACTGGAATCCTGTAACAGTGCAAATCTCTGCTTATTTCTGTGAGAATGAATTCTAAGACCATGACAGTTAATGGCACCTGCAAAAACAAGAAGTCTATCCCATGAGAACCCATGAAGAAAAAATGTAAACACATCTGGAAAGAAAAAGGTTTGACAGGCATGTACACTAGCCATGACCAACCAATGAACTGAGTTTCAAGGATCTGCTGACCTATTAGATTCAAACACAGTGCCTTCTGATAGCATATAAAAATGAGCTGTGTGCAATAATATTCTGCATGAAAAAACAAGTGTCTTGTCTGTCTCCATTGTGACAAATTACCTTAATCTCAGATTGCCAATTAATCACAGAATATTTACAGTAAATTTAAGCATACAAAGACTAGTAGTCACTTCTCTTTGCAGATTCCCATTCTACCATTTCCAACAGTGTATTTCCCCCTTTTACCTATCAACTTCTGACAGATGCTGATGGGATTCATCCAATAATCTTTAAAGAGCTGCTGATGTCATCACTAAGTCTTTCTTGGTGGTTTTTGAATGATTCTGGGAATCTGGAGAAGTCTCAGCTGACTGGAAGCTGGCGAATGTTGTCCCAGTTTTCAAGAAGGACAAGAAGGAGGACCCTGGAAGGTAGAGGCCTGTCAGTGTCACTTCAGTGTCTGGTAAAATCATGGAAAACATTTTTCTGGAAGAGTACTGAAAAACACTTGGAAGACAACAGTCATCAGCCACAGCGAACATGGCTTCATGAGGGGAAAGTCAGCTTGTCACACCTGATTTCCTCCTACAACAGGGCAACCCACCTACATGATCTAGGAAAGCCAGTGCATGAACCTTTTTGGACTTCAGTAAAATGTACATAGGATGGTTAGGTTTTACTCCTGTAGCCTTCATGTTATATCAGACTATCCTTTCCAGCCTTCCTCTTTGTTTTCAGCATTGTCTTCTCCAAACACCAGGACTCTTACTGTGATTTTATTCAGTGTTATCCAACACTGCATAAACAGTACTTTTCAGTTTGTTAGTGGGGTTTTTTTGTTTGGAGATGAAGTGAATACACTTCATTCTCAAAGTCATTAAAGCTCAGGCAGAGCTTTCTCTTGCCTCTGGCATGCCTTTTGGCTCTACTGTCAACAGCAGCAACTCGAGAAGCTGCATTTCTCAATCAAAAACTATTTCAGAGTGAATTTTGCAACAGCTGTCTGCAGCAGTGTTGCACACCCAGAGAAGCAGAGCAGCCTGGCTCCGTGTGCACAGCAGGACGTTCCTCTCTACCACGGATGGCTGGTGCATGTGGAAGAGATAACCCAGGCAAGGTCAAAGGCCTGGCAGGGGGTTATCTCTGGAGCCAGAGGGGCCAAGACACCCAACCAAAAATCAACATCTTGGTCTGGGGAGCAGATGCAGGAAGAGATAAAAAAAGTATCTTTGACCGAAAGACACTGCTCTTCACAACTATAAAAGCCACAAAAATTATTACAGAGATAGAACTCTTACACACTCCCTGGAAATGGGTAGGATGGCTTTTTCTACAAAGCTTGGACATATCTTTGTAGATACTTTTCCGGAAATTGAGAGGAAAGATTTGATGTATGGCCCACCAGCAACTGGATGGTAAGATACATTGAAGCTAGCTGTAATATAGGTACTTCAATCACGCTGTATTGTCTATCTACTAACAGCATCTCTTTGTTTATCATGTGTGGTAAGAAGTCTGGTTGAAGTCTTATGTCTGCTTCCCTTGGTCTATTCAATAAATCATTCATTTTGTAATAGACCTAAATGGCCATTAAGAACTTGCAGAACAAGAGTGAGTTTTTGGGTGTTGGCCACCTCGATTAAGTTCCTGTCTACTGTCAAAGGCCTGGGCAGGGGGACTGGTTTAAACTCCCCTCTCCATTTGTAACGGTGAGGTGACCCCAGCCCACCAGCAGTGCCTGGCTGAGGCAAGAAGGCACCAAGTCACACCAGCCCACAGGTCTTGTCTTGCTTTCTTCTGCCAAGGAGAAGGCAAAGTCCACCAACGAGTCCTAGTCCTTAAGCAAGTACCAGCCACCAGAATTGCCGCCAACAGAGAGATAAAGGGAGGGGTGGGGGAGCTGCCACCATTTTCCCTTTGTCTCCCCCATGGCAGGCACCATCTTGGGGAAGCGGTCACTCTGCCATTTTGAGTTTCTTTGTTCCCTGGGAATCTGGAGATTTCAGCAACTTTCAAAAAAACTGGCCCTCTTACTGTTGTTTTTTGCCTGTTACTGTTTTGGTTTTTTAGTAAACTGTTATTTTTTCAGTTATATCTGTTCTACTTGTTTCTCTTTATTGATGGAAAAGGATTGGTTAAAACTAATGGGAGATAACTCATTTTAGAGTGTTCTTCTTAAATTGTTTTAAACCAAGGTTGATCAAACAGGACCTGCCTTTCATAAGCTCATGTTGGCTGGGCCTGATTCCCTGGTTGTCCCATAGGTGCCATGTGATGTCATTGATGATGATCTGCTCCATGATCTTCCTCAGTACAAAAGGCTGTAACTGCTATTATAGTGCACTATTTAATAAATTGGTATTTTCTAAACTAGCTCAATAACTGTCAGGAAGAGATTGGTTTTGGTCACCCATTCTCATGACCATGGGCAAATCTCTTTTACTCAGCCACAAGGAGTTACCACGAGAAGTACCCCCACTTAAAGGAAGAATCTGCACACACAATCCTAGAAGGGTTGTGCTAGAAATCCCTACAATAAAAGGGAGAGCTTGGGCTTTTATAGGATAACATGATTGACTGTCAGTCCTACATTGCTAGGCTAGCCCACCAGAACATAATTCATTTAAAACACACGATTAGTACTACCACTCATTGGTTCCTTTTATCAGGAAACATCTGTCTCCCACATCCATGCCACTGCCAGTTCCCATCAGGAAACACCAGTTTCTTTACATCCTCATATTGTTTAATTTTGAGGTGTTTCAGTCAAGCTGATCTCAGCATTCTTCAACACCAAAAGAAAACATGACCACCCTCCCTCCATCACTGGTGATTTTTGCAAATAGCATGAGGTTCAAGCTGTTTCACCCACAGATATACAGAAAGAACATCCTGCTACGCTAACAAGTTTCCAATTTTAGTATTTATGTCAAAAAAATTTTGAAATTTGGTTTCAACAAGGATGTTTGATACAGATTTCTACTTATTACACGTCATGGTGACAGCAGAAAAATGTTGAAGTACTAAGGTCTGAACAACAGACCTTGGGCCAAAGTTGACCTCTAGATGAACCTTCCAACCAAATGGTATATGTATCTGTTCATTGGCAAAACTATGGTTTCAGTATTTAGAACCTAGGCAAGGCCAAATCTTGCCTTGGTTGGGAGTGTAAAATCAAAGACAACTCCCTTGGTTCCTCCTTGAGTCCTGGCCAGGCTTTGGAAGAAACCCAGTAGGAGAAAGAAACCACATGTTCCAGCACTAGAAGTTACGGTGGCTTGTTTATGCAACAGAATAAAAAGGGGACCCTCTCACAGCTAAGTCAGAAGCCTCGTTTCTGTGGGTGGAAACACCTGCAGGATTTTCCATTTACCAGGAGTAGTTCTCCAGTCCTTTGCTGTGACAGTGGTTGTCCCCAGCTGATGCTTATCCTATCATATCCTTTTGTAATTCTTTGCTTTTTTTGTATTATATTAAATTACTTATTTCTTAAGTTGGTGTCTTTTCTGATCCTGCCCATCAGCAAAACAAATGTAGAAAAGCAACGAAACAAGCATCAAACTCTGAATGTGCCTTAAATCTTGGTGGGAACCCAGAAATTCTGCAGTTGAGAAATTACAATTATGTAATTCCATTTTAAGACTTATTCGGGGAATAGTACAAAAATTAAAAAAATCAAGAAAAGGCATTCCATGGCATCTGGCATTGGTCCCAATCCACTGTCCTAAAGCTAATAATTGCACCCAGCAGCACTGTCACAAGTGTCATGGGAACTGTGGTCATAGTCAACGGGTCAAGAATAAAGAAGTCATTCTTCTCACCACAAATGAGTTAATGCAGATAATCACCATTCCATGTATCAACAACCGGAAGCACTAGATACAAAAAAAAATGGAATTTGTCATAAGCAGCATCTAAACTGAGCTCCAAGAGGTTATTCTGAAACCTAAAAGTGGCTCTTCTGCAAGCACTATGGACACCGGGCATTTGGAGGAGCCATGCTTCACAAGGAATTTAATCATTCTAGTTCTCCGTGGTACCAAGCAACACACAAACACCAGCAAAAGCAATTATTCAGTCAATTGTTCAGAACAAAAAGAAATCTTCAAGATTCTATTCAATTCCTTGATTGTATCAACCAAGCATTTATTGCCCATACTCCACAGAGAAAAAAAATATGTTCACTTTTGAGCAATAGCTGCAAGCCTGAGAAAGCAATTTTCAGCAGAAAAGATTTGCAGGGAAAAGGCGTTAATAACACAGACTGGATTCATCAGACAAATTGGCATCACCAAATTTTCCATTCAGAATCCTAGAGATGAAAGCTTTTCTAATGGTAGCATCAGACTCCTTCATACAGGAATACCCTTGCCTCTGCAGAAGAGTTGATGTATATAACTGAAACACAATGCTGTAAGCATTATCTGTAGCTCATGCTTTTCTAGTTGAGAATATTACTATGATGGAAGAAGGTCAGCTAAAGATGAAACGAAGTCCAGAGCTGCCTTTTCTTGGATGGAACAACGTTTTTTAGAAAATACCTACAACCCCTACACTTCAACTACAAATTTTTATTTACCATAATACTGTTCTGCCAGTGGACATGGTTGGCACAAAAGACACAAACACCAACTTTAAGGAATAAGTGTAAATTACTATAGTTTAAAACAGCAAAGAATTACAAAAGGATAAGCTAAGCAACGCAGCTAATCACTACTACAGAAGATTGCCTATAGTAATTAAGAAAGGTACACCACCTAATATTTTATTATCATCCAAATCTGCACTTCAGCTGGAGAGCTCCAGCCACAGCAAAGGACTGGAGAGCCACTCCTGGTAACTGGAAAATTCTTGAAGTACATCCACCCGCAGGTGAGGTCGCCATCTTCACTGTGAGAAGGTCCAGCATTTATATTGTTGAATAAACAAGATTCCATGTATTCTAGTGCAGGAACAGCTGGTTTCATTCTCTTCTTGGGTTCCACCCAAAGCCTGGCCAGGGCTCAAGGAGGAACCAAGGGATTTGGCTTTAACCATGTACTTCCAAACAAGGCCAGGTATCTGATTTCATGGCCCTGACTGGGCTCTAAACACAGGAAGAAATATATTCTTATCACACTACATGTTTTCTAATGATCATGCATCTCTCACTAATAAGTGGATACAAATATTAGGCAACATTTGGTTGGAAGGTTCATTGAGAGCAAACTTCAGCTCAGGGCCTATTGTTCAGGCCTCAGTACTTCACAGAAACAAGTGAACTGCAGAGAAACCATATACATGCTTCAACCTCTGAGGAATTTCCAAATTCCTTTCAAGTTTCAATGCATATTTAAAGAACTGTCTTATATCCTCAGTAGTTGTAGACATCATCCCCTTTTAGAAGTACTGCTTGCTAATCATCCAATGCCTAATGACCACTCATGGGAGACAAGTCTGCAATCTATGTACAAGATACTGACTGAAGTGCAAATTAAGAAGTTACTTGAATTTTGGTCATTGAAATCTTTCACAATCACATGCTAAAAGAGCTTTTTGGCATATTTGCATTTTATGGAGACCATTTATATCCAGCATGAAGGCTTAGTGCTACCTTCAAGATCACAGGAGTGTTTTCAAAAAGTACAGTTTCTCTTCTAATTGGTGAAGTTTCCTGCCTGCTATAAGTTACAATATCAATCCTTCCATTAAATTAGCTTCCTTGAAATTCCTCAAAGTATAAATTCCTACAGCCTTTTTGTTCTACATTACCACTGTCCTATGCAGTTTTGAAACTCCTGAGAACTTGAATTGCTTATATTTATCAGAATGACAAATGATAGTGAGAAACATACTAGTAGTGTTTAGCAAACAAATGTGTGAAAAAAAAAATCTAGTCCCTTTCAGCAATGGGAAAGTACTACAGTTTTTTAAAAACTGCATATAACAGTATTTAATATAGCTTAGAAATGCTTTGAGTAACAAAGACAGGTTGGCAAGTTTGTATTTTCCTTAACCCTATTCTCTTCCCCATTTCTACCTCTTTAGTCACACTGATGCTACCACTTGTGGTGTTTCAGGATGAACCGAAGTAGACAATTAAATGGCATCCACAATTTCACTTTTAAAAAGAAGAAAAGATCACTTACTTCAGCAATCTCGTGTGTCTCTTCAGACAGATGTGGAGCGTTCACTGGAGGAACAGGAGCTCCTCCCTGGTCTTGGGTCCTAGAAGGGACAACAGTCTGTAAGCTTCAAGTGCTGCTTTTACCAAATGAGCAATGACCCGTACCAACATCACCACCAGAGTCTCCTATGTCCTGATTACCAGTAATACATCAAAAGATCCCCTGGCAGATTTTGAATTCCAATTTCCTGTGAAGAACCAGTCCCCTTTCATTAGTGTCCATTAACAATTTAAAAAGGCAAAGATTAGCATTGCCTTAGCAATATGCTAAAAACCATAATGGGTGTTTTCACCATTTTTCCTTGCTTTTCTTTTTTCTTTCCTTTTAAGTCACCAGCAGGCTCTAAGGTTTTTCACAAGCTCTCATAGCCATGCTTAGCAAAGCTGGAACTCCTCTAGGAATTAAGAAAATTGAATTGCACCTTCTTGGCTTTCTGCTCCCTCTTTTATTCCTTTTGCTGTCTTGATCCATGCCTTTTAATTAAATCATGGGGTGGGGAGTACTCCTCTCCCTCTGACAACTGTTAGTCTTCAACACAAAGAAGAAAGGCTCAACATCAAACTAACAGGTTAATTATTACAAGACCACAAATGCTGTGACATTTGGAGTCTCACATCTCCAGACCACTGATATGTCACTCATGGCTGCAGCAAATGAAACCAAACAAAGGCAAATAAAGCAGTTGGGAAAGGCTGATTTGTGTAAATTTTAGAAACTTATAAAAATATTCTCCTACCAAAACACCTTAGCCTGCAGAAGCAACCCAAGTCAGCAATTTGTTGGCTTCTAAAGAGCCAGTGTTCGAGGGACAGCCTCCTGCAAATCAAAGTATTTTACCACTTTACAACTATTTTTTTGAAGATTAGTAGGAAGGGGGAAGAGCAAAAAAGCATCTGAGTTTTAAGTAGAAATCAGAACCACAACAACAAAAATAAAATTTCTAAAAATCTGGTACATCAATGAACTGGAGAAAGTTTTAGCTTTTACTTATAAGGAAACCAAAACACCCCATAACAGACTTGACATAAAGCATGCTGTAATGTTTTTTTTTTTCCTTCTATTAAAACATGAGACAACATATTATTTCCTGGAGAAAAGAATACTGTTTAAGCTTAAACTACAAAGACGGCTGGATTCTTGAACTCACTGCAGTGAGCCATACAAGCACTGAACTAATGGTTCCTGGTAAATATCTTGGGAAGCAGTTGGCAATAAGTTTTCCAAGACTTTGGACCCTGAGATTCAGGGGAACTTTTATACTGGCATAGGCATCAAGAGTAAATTATTTAATTTTGCAGACAGTAATATAAAAGCAACCATTATCACAAGTTTGTTTTCTCTGCCAGGAATATCTAACTGAATGTTTTGGGACATCAGTTGCTAGTTCAAGGGAACAGAGTGATAAGAGCCCAGCTAGGAGTTTTTGATGTTTGTAACAAGTTTTACTCCCATCATTCTCAGATGAATATTTTCTCAGGAGAAAATATTTACCAGGAGTCACAATGAGCTGGGTTTGTTTTATTCTATTTTTAAGTCCTCCCAGAAGGCTAGTTAAGAGCAGGGAAATGCCCAAAGTTACCACGAAACTCCTAGAAAGAGTTGAGTCAGCCTCCTAACAACTTCTAGGAAAACAACTGCCAGCATTCCTATGGGCTTCTGAAACACATCCAGTGCCCCAGCAGAAAATCTGCTCGCGTTCTACCTGATGCCTTGGGTTTTCATTGATGCCACGGACATACAAAGCACATCTCCCAAAGCACAGGAAGAAAATCACTACAGATTGATGGAGTACTTGCACTTTTTTCTCACATTTCCATCTACCTCTGCATGGAATAAGCGAGTTAATTCTATCAGCTACACTACTCAGACAACCCAAAACAGAAAGAGCGAGCATATACCTCTTTAAATCCGTTTGGTGGTTTTTTTCTGTAATAGTATAAACAGTTTCATCAGTCCAACCACAATACACGACTGCAGGTGTCCCTCTTGCACAAAGCAGAGCACCGGCTCCTTACCGCACACCTTGTAATGCCTATCTGAGAGGCTGAAGCAAAAAAATCACTAACGCCGGACTTTCATCTCAGAATTTAAACACAGGACACTCGAAATACCCGGTCATCAACCCTGACAGTGATTACTTTCTCTCGTCAGTTTTGTTTGGGGGGGGAGGGGATTTCCTAGTTTGTTGATTTGGGTTGGGGTTTTTTTTCAGTATCTTTTAACCGCATCTCCCTGCATTGTCATATCCTACGGAGAAATACAGCAAACAAACCTCTGCGTCCTTAAAGTGATCGGGGCGGCGGATGTTCCCGGAGCCTGCGCATCGCATTGTCCTTGTTCAGGCACTCGCAGAACACTCACTAATTGACGTTAATTGGTTCTGCGAGACGAGCAGCGGACTCGCTGCGGGCC